TATATATGTTTATATTTATATTTATCGGTGAAACAAATATCGATTTAAGCTTGTCAAAGACACGTCAGCGAGATTGCATCACGAAAATAATCGGCGAAGATAATTCGTTGGGAACGACAGTGAATTGGGCAAATCGTTATCTGATCGCCATCGCGCGAACATTCACGACGACAATCTCTCTCTCATAAAGCCTACCCCAATCCGTCATAACCTCTTTATCCGAAACAAGCGAACGACGAAATTTATATTAACGTGTTAGGTCGCTAACACGGTGTTCTCGGGAGATAAGCGCCTCTCGAGGGCGATGCGCTTTAGAAGTCAATGCCCTTTGCGGGCGATATGACAACACGGGGAGGAACACACCCGAAACGAGCCAGCTCCAACATACTCGATTATCTGACACGTACGGCGCGACATTTTCGAGGCTGGATCGCGATTATATATAGCTCGATATCGCGTGATTTGATAAAGCACCGCGAACGACGTAGGACGTAAATAAGAGAGAGAGAGAGAGAGAGAGAGAGAGAGAGAGAGAGAGAGCGAGAGAGACAGGAGCTGACTCAATGCGCAAAGTATCGAAAAAACAATCCCACGTACCTTAAACTGGAGAGACTGTCAAATAATAATTGCGCGTCGTCGTACGCGCTCGATGATATTCTCCAGGCGTATATAGATAGATTCCCGGGTCGGCCGCGACGGGCGAACTCCTTTCGTCACAAAACACCGCACATACTGTCACACAGCGCGGCGCGCGCTCATCGCATTCACTCTCGGTCCTTCCGATTCTGTCAAACGGCTCGCGGCCTCGTCGCGCTATTTGTCGCGACGTGTGCGATAAGTGTGTGAACTCAACGCGTGAGAACGTACGCTTTTATCCAGCTCCAACCTCCTCGCGTTCGGAGCTGCGCAATGCCGCCATGTTTCTTGTTGTCGCGATAGTTTCTGTCGATTCCGTCTCCGTCGTACTTGGCGGGTCGCGAGCGTGACGTAATCGCTATATGTTAGCGCTATGTTCGTACGATACGAATCGCGAAAAATTGCGTTTTGCAGAGAAATTGTAGATATATTTATTTTGACGATCTCCAATCAAGCCGATAAGTCGATATCGCGATATTGATGTTTAATAGCAATGTCTAATGCGTTAATACGAACGTCTGATACTTGTTTTGAGACACTTGCGATTCACTTTTACGCGGAAATAAACGCGATAAATACGGAGCGATGCGAATACGACTACACGTGGCGCGTTCCATTACCCGACTGCGATTCGAGATCTATCGACGATACTGATTGGTCGATACTTCGAGGATTTCTGCAACGTCATTACTTTTGACAGATTTTGAATTTCGAATCATAATTATTTTCTAAATGTCTAGAAATCTCTGCATTATTAGTTTTCAACAGTGCTTGTTGAGCAATTTTTATCATTAAGTATATTTTTCTCAACAATATTATTGTTTACTTTACCGTATTTATATATATAGGACTGTAAAAAAGAATTAGATAATTAGAAAAAAATGAATGTTATTATATAATACTAAATCTTTAGCAATTATCTTTAAAATTATTCAATACTCTTTTATTTTCGAGATTAATTGTAATACTTTTTTTCACCGCACACAAGAATAATATAATATAATATAAATAAATATAAATGTACACGTATACCTATTTGTAAAACAGTACAAACTTTTTTTTTCTTCTCATATAACTCATTATGTTTCATAAAATACAATAAAATGCAATAAAAGTACAATATATGGAATGCTCATCAATTTTAACAAGAAAAAAAATGTATCTTTTATTTTTTTTTTTTACATGACCTAAAATATAAACTTGTACTATTTTACTTAAATCTATTAGAAAACATTATATTTTTTATTGTTATATACAACTAAAATTAAATATATTATTTTTGAATCATTAAATATAACACAGGATTACAAGATTTTTATTGATCTACTAAGGGATCATGCGATATATTGGATAATTGTAATGGCTCAGGCTCTGTTAAAGATATTATATGTCCGCATGAATCTGATGACCTAAAATTGATGAAATTGAAGAAGTTATATCTTTTTTTTTTTTTTAGAGAGAGGAATTTTAAATATATGCATACATAACTTACACATCTTTTAGAAGATGTAAAACTTGTTTGTGTTCTATTCCTTCTAGCCACAGATTCAATAATTCCTCTCGTTTACATCTCAGCAATTGCTTGCAGACATTTAAATTCTCCTTTACAGCATGAATCTTTTCTCGCAATGACGTAACCTTCTCAGATAATGCACTGAATATCTAAAATAAAGTGTATTGTGATATAATGCACAGTTATAAGTATCTGTATTTCTCATTACATTCAGCTATATTCGTATTTACTTGCATAACTTCCATGAGATCTTGATCATACAATGAAACTAATTCTTCCAACCGTTGATCGCTACGTTTGTACTCTTTTTCCAGCTTAGCCTTTTCAATCTCCCGTTGCTCATTTGTCTCGCTTGCTGATAAAGCACGAATCACAGAGATCAATAGACCGCTCTATAAGATATACGAGATTTATATAAAACATACAAGTAAATATCTCTCTAATAATTTTGTTGTAACTATAAATTTAGAAAAAGAAAACGATTCAATTGTAAAATTTACTTGCCGTTTCTTTCGTCGGTTTAATCCCACGTGGTGGTTTAACAGGGGGTATTGTATTCATCTTATAATTGTGTATGTAAGCTTTCTGGAAAATAAAAAAAAATTATTATCTTACTTTCATATTAAAATAATCTTTGCTTCATATATTAGATACTTGAATCAAGAATAATATGTTTACAAACTTATATATATAATTTACATTGTAAATAATTCTTATTAACACATAATACAAAAAGTTACACAAACTAAAAAAGGAAGCTAAATCATTAGCGTACTTAGAATGCAAAATTTTTGATATGTACTAAGATAAAACGTATGTGTTGAATTTAATTGCAGCTTAATCGCCACATTAGGTTAAGTTATTGTTTAGGACCATGTATGACAATATGTCATTTTTGTAAAATACACTTTTTCGCACTTTAAAATGGAACAAATGTATATTTAAGCTTTAAAGGAATAAAGAGAAAACTAGTAAAGTATAGCAGTAAAGGTCCGTCCTTGTCAACTATGCTTTCTGTTCTTTTCGTATTTCAAGTGCAACAAAGTGCAATTAAGGAATACACTTTGCATCACGCCATTATGAATGATACAAGACAAACTTAAAAAAATTGAAAGATATTTTATAAAAAACTTTATCAATCAGAACAAAACAAATATGTATTAGAAAAATAAAAATAGTAGAGTTATCGGAATTATATTTTATTAAATTCGCTTATCACTAGCAATACAAAATAAGTAAAATACATGTGTGTGAAATATGATAGATAAATATAAATTTATTATATTGATTTAAGAGAACAAGGAGAATTAATATATAACACAATAATCCAGTTTATATAATATATATAATCTGTAT